AGGACAAGGCCTGGACACAGAGCCCAGCCACAGAGTTCAGGGGCGCGGCCAGTGAGTGTGGCCAGCTCTTTTTTTGCTAAGATAGAACCCCAACAGTAAACGGTTTGGGGAATTATACAACAACTAAACAAAAAGACACACACTTCCATTGGTCTCACTCACCATCCTCCAGGGGGCTGACTGTTCGAGCGTCGGACCGAGCGTCGGACCGAGCGTCGGAGGAAATCGGAGGTCGAGTTGCCACCTCCGTCGACTACCATGGATTCCAGCGATTCACGAAGCTTCGAAGTCGTCCCCGATGGGGAGGTCTGTGCGGGCCTTCGAGGTCTCTGCGGCCGGTGTTTTCTTTCTTTGCACCGAGTCTGCATGTCTGCCTCGAGGCGCTGCACCTCTTCGAGGTTGAAAGATTGCCTGGATATCACGAGTGTGATAATAGTACTTGGAATCATATCTTAAACTTATGAATACGGGATAATACAGCTAAAAATGGTCTGTCCGCTTGAAGCAGGAAGGCCACAGAAAAAGGCCTTCTACTATCTTCTACCCACATGTCGAATGCAGCATTGGCAGTTCTAGTGGCTAGGGTCTATCATGTGGTATCTATCTCTTACGGGACACAATTCTGTTCAACAGATGCTGCCCAAGCTCAAACGCCCAAAGCGCACTGAGCAATGTCAGCTGCATCAGCCGCGCATGGCGCCCTAATCTTGTAGAACAAGTTGCACTCGTCCAAGAGATTGAAGATATCTTGCGCGACATTAGGAAGTGCTCCCACTAGCGCCAACAAATCTGATGCGCACAATTCTTGGTCCGTTGCATTGTTGAGAGGACCCACACAAGTTTTGACAAGAGCCCATGTGTTCAAAGCAACGGTCAAGATATCATCCATGGTTTCCATGCTTTGGAAGGCACACTCTGCCTGTGTGTTGGCCCGGTTGCCGGGCACCCCGCTGTTGCTGTTGCTTCCGTATCCCGGTGGAGGATTTGCAGAGCCTTGACTGTTGAGCCACCACTTCAACGCCCGTGCCCGTGCTGGCGCTGGCAAGGTAGATCGTTCTTGCGCATGTGAGGAACCGTGACCTGTGGCATTTGTCAGGCTTTTGGCCGCAAGCAAGCTGGATGAGCTGGGGCTCTGATGGAGGTACGCGCAATCATTTTCGCTGTTGAGCGCATCTGACGCAATCTCCACTCCTGACCCTGTGAAAGTAGTCATGCTGGTGAAGCAATTCACTGAGTTTGGAGAGATGAAGCCTTCAACGCAGTACTGCGGGACCTGTGCAGCCGCCACCAGTAGCCATGCAAGGTTCTGCACCACATTGGTGATCCCTCCGGAACAGCCTTTGATTCCAGCACTATCTGGGCACGTCTGGTTCAAGGTCACCTGGTCTATACCTTGAGCAATATACCCGATGTACCACACAAGGCTGAAGACTGTCTGGAAACAACTGACTCCAGCAAATGACGTCAAACCTTCTTCATGCTCCGGATCGGAGATCCTCACTTGAGGAGGACAAACATGGGAATTGAAGGTTAGCAGTTAGTTAGCTTTTGGGGATGACTGAAATCAAGGAGCAAAAAGGTCTAAAAAAGAACATGTTGGCCAGCTGAGAATCCAATCTTCTTCACCAGAAAAGTACATTTTTAGATCATTAGAATGGCAGTGGATGTAAATCGGAAGACCTTCGCTGCAGGCAGCTGAGCTGCTTCGATGTCTCGTTCGCCTCATCATCCGGGTCGATCTGAAACAAGCATGCTATCGTGGTAGCAAACCCAGAGGGCGATGAGCTTGGCTTTGCTGGGAAAACTTGAGCCACAAACGACTCTGAAAGCAGGAGACTTGAGGACACATCGTTGCATCATGGCATCGGCGCAGGCGTCAAATATCATCCGTCTCAAAAGCCCATCGAAGCGTCCGAGTCGCCTCGAACGCCACGTGGTGCCTGCGCTGCCCGAGTTCGAGCCCAGGAGGAACACCTGGCTCACAGCGCTCTGCTTCAAGTGGACAAGTCTTGGCTTCCCCTTTCTGTTTCTGCACGCTTTGCAAAAAGACACTTCAAGTCTCTAAAGTGTTCCAACTTTACAGTGTGTTTGCCCTTTAGGTGCTTCAGGAATCTTCCCGATTGAAAAAGGGTCTGACAGGTGAACGTCCCTATCTCATGCGCGTTGAGCTCCCCTGCGTATTCGTCAAAGGTATCAATGATCCAA